GCCGGCACACCCTCTATGGCAACTTCGTCAAGTTGTTGTAGTTGAGGGTAAGCTCTACATTGTGCGTCGTCTGGTCTTCGGGAACCGTGCATCTCCCCGTTGCTGGTGTGCTGTCTCCGGGCTTTTGTGCTGGTTAGCTATTAGAAAGCTGGGCATCTTCAGCCTGCACGTCTACATGGACAACTTCTTTGGCTGGGACTTCGAAGACAACTTAATCATGTATCATGGGATGCTCCATCCACGTCAACAAGTTCAACTTCTCTTATTTTGGGAAGCGATCCAGTGCCCTTTTGAGGATAAGAAGCAAGAGCATGAGAGTGTCTTGAAAATCATTGGCTTCTGGGTTGATGCCAACCAAGGCTCCCTCTCTCTTCCTCCGAACTCCCTCATCGACATAGTTGAGAAAATCAATGTCTTCTTGTCCACACCCAATCGCAAACCCATCCTTCGTGAATGGCAACAGCTGGCTGGCCACCTCAACTGGCTTCTAAATGTTCTACCTTGGGCTCGTCCCACACTTTCAGCCCTCTACCACAAGACTAGTGGAAAAACTTGTCCTCTTGGTGCTGTACACCTCAACACAGAAGTCATCTCTGACCTTTCCTGGCTTGTGAGCATCATCCCAAAGGCAGTTGGCGTCCGCTTCTTGGATGATGGTATCTGGGACGACGCCGCTGCAGATCTGGAGCTCTGGACTGATGCTAGCCTAACTGTTGGCATGTCCTTTGTGTACGGAAATCAAGGCTTCATGTATGAGATGAAGGAATGCCCCCCTGATCGCAAGGTCGACATCTTCTTCCTGGAACTAGTGGCTATCATGTCAGCCATCCACCATGTTGCCTCTTTCACCTCACCCCCTCGCCGTCTTCTTATTCACACTGACAGTTTAGACTCAGTGGCTATCTTCAACAGCTTACGTGTCTCTGAGGCATTGCACAATGGTCCACTCATGGTGATAGCTGGCGTCATCATTGAATCAGGCATTGATCTACATGTTCGTCATATCCCTGGAAAGCAAAATGTCCGAGCCGACCTCCTCTCACGTCTTTTGCTCGACGAGTATCGTGCAAAATTCCCTTTTGACCGCGTCCGCCTTTTCTCCCCACCACGGGACCTCCTGCCGGCGCGATGGAGGGGGTGCTTTTGAGCGCCCTGGGCGGGTCTCGGCCATTACGCCGGACTCGCCCACCAATGAAGCTACGTGATCTTGACAATTGTATGCTTCATTTGCAGGTTAACACTATTGAGAAATCAACAGTTAAAGGCTATGCAACAGGAGCTCGCGACTACATTTCTTTTTGCATGAACCACCACCTCTCCATCAAACCCACCCCCGAAACCTTGGCTCACTACATCGCCTACACCTCCCAATACATCGCCTCTGGGCCAAAATATCTCTCAGGAGTCAGACATTTTCTATCTGACTTATATCCTAACTTTGACAAGAATCGCGCCCACCCACTTGTCATAACTACTATTCGAGGTTCCAAGAAAATCCACGCAGACCCTATTCGTCGTAAGTTGCCTCTGCGTCCAGCACATTTACAAACTTTTCTACATATTGCTCGTAACTCTGGATCCTATGATGACCTCCTCTTCGCAACAATACTTTCTTGCCTATTCTACGCTTGCCACCACTCAGGTGAACTTGTCCAGAAAAATTCAAAAGACCTCTTCGATTGGAGGAAAATCATCAAACACTCCTCCCTCACGTTTTCTCAAGGGCGAGCTCAGTATCACCTCCCTTATCACAAGGGGGATCCTTTTTACTGTGGTACTGATATCTTGTTCTCACAACAGGAAGTCACCGACCCTGTGGCGCTTCTGAAAGAATATGTCGATCGACGTGACTCTGTTCACCAAGCCCGCCTTGCTCTCTTCTTATGGGAGGATGGCTCCCACCCCACTCGCTCGTGGTTCGACGCTCGCTTCTTCACCGTGCTCAGCTGGGAATTTGGCGGGCACTCAGCACGTGCAGGTGGCGCCACATTTTATGCCAGCCTCGGGCTATCTGAGGACGTCATTCAAGCTATCGGTCACTGGTCCTCTCAAGCATGGAAGATCTACATAAGGGACAACCCCACTGTTCGTGCCGAACAACAACTTGCCGCCATTGGACTCCGCCTAAGGCGCTGTTAACAATTTTTTTTCTATGCTACTCGCTTCCATCATCTCTCACCACCACCACCCCACAACAACAACAACACCACTTCATTAGCTCACACTCCCAGCCTAAAAAATTTTGGGGCTCGCCTTGCTTCGGCGACCCCTTGTTGCTGCTATCACCACCTCGTGATCTCTCCACCTTTGAACAGCGCAGCAGAGGTCGTCGTAATGGCGGGTTCCAAGGGTAAGGAGGCATTTCATAGGCCTCTGCGCCAACTCAAAACTCTGCCAGGAAAAGGACCAGCTCTGCTGAGCCTTTTCCCCTTGAGCCCCGCTCGTCAATCATGGTTGTGACATCAATCCCTGACTCAGTGCCAAAGTTTGGCAGATGCTGGGTTAGGAGAAGTTATTGGTGTTGCTTCCCTCTCCTGTGCTGGTGCTCTCTCTCTCAGACCACGTCTATCCAGCACAGGTAAGCGCTCCGCTCTCTCTCTCTCTATGCACCACATACTCATCCAAGTGAACAGTGATCCTCGCTTCTAGGCTTTGCCTATCGTTTTCTATAAACGCACTCTCATCACTCTTCATTTGGTGAGGCCTTTCTTCATATTGAGCTTTGTGCACATTCTTACATCCTGCTGGCTCAGACTTTGTCTGCTAGACTCGGATTGTAAGAAGCATCGTAAAACCTCGCTCAGCTCAATACTCATGTATCGTGCCTCCTGCAGAATCTCTTCAGATTTTCTCTGGCCCTCCCTCCACTCCCTCTTCTCTTTTTATCTTTTTTTTATCTCTTTTTTCTCATAAATGACTTTATTCTAATGTACTTGTATCCACATTTGTACGTGCAGTGTAGTGTAGCTCACACTCCCAGCCTAAAAAATTTTGGGGCTCGCCTCGCTTTGGCGACCCCTTGTTGCTGCTATCACCACCTCGTGATCTCTCCACCTTTGAACAGCGCAGCAGAGGGTGTTCAACAGTGCACACTTCGTTCAAGTGTCGAGAAAAGCACCCAAATACGGACACCACACGTGAGTGCCAAAATGTCGAAATCAGTGACTAAGCACCACATATGGGTGCAAACACTCCCCACAGTGACGTTTGATTCGTACAATTCGGATTACTTTATTTCTTTCGGAACACCCCATTGGAATGAGATCTCTTCCGAAATAACTCCCCTCGATGAACTTGGGTTAGAGTAAAAGGTGTTCGACATGACCAGTCTCTGGTGTTCCCACAGCGGTTGTACTTGCTCGAGATCAATTTCGTAGTAGCCTATAGAACCATATCATGTTTTGAATACGAGCGCGCGACGGAATGGTCTACATATGATTATGCAGTTATGTAACTGGAACGGATTTGGGAAGCTTCAAGACGAGCAACGAAAAACCAGAAACATAAGACAGAAGCACACCGAGCACGAGGAGCAGGTCGTAACCAGGTTTGAGTGAAACTGCATAATGCAACATCGAGGACCACATAACATAACACATACGAACATGACGACACATTTGTGCATCTTTTGCATAAACATAAGCTGCAAATACGCAGGTCTCCAGACTCCCAAACCGCTCAAAAGGTCC